CATAGTTAATCCTGCACACTTAAAACCTATTTCAATCTAGACAATTATTACAAAACTTGAATCAAAGTTGTCCGACATGTCATTGGTTCATCGACTCTTCGTCTGATTCTTCGGCGCATCATCCTCTCTTGTGGTCTATTGCCCAATCAGCCATTTGACCTTCGCAACTCTGATTTCCTTAGCACAATTTCTGCTCTTCTTGGCCCGATTCTCGAATCCTTGGCCCAAAGCCTTCTGTCGATACGTCGACCGATCCTTCGCTCGACGTCCGATCTTTTGATATGTTTTTCTCCAGCACAACATGATTTTTTCTGCTTCAATTGTCTCTCTCTGATCGAAGCTTCCTGCGTCACTCAAAACATAGATCAAATCATAAACACTATCTATTGGTTTCATTATCAAAATCCAAGATTCAACAGTGATGCCCAAGCTTGAGAAAGGGGCAAGCGAGGATGGGATTGCTCACTACATAAAGTACATGGATGACTCCACTCTCGCTCAGTGTTACATATTGAGTTCCATGACTCCCGAGTTACAAAGGTAGCATGAAAAGATGGATGTCATATTCATTCTCCTATATCTCTATAAATTGTTTGAGAAATAGGCCAAAACTCAACGATATCATATATCGAAGAGTCTTTTCTGTACTAGGATGATTGAGGGGACATCGATTCAAAACCATGTCCTTAAGATGATTGAGTGAATAGAGAAGCTCATAGGTCTAGGAATGACCCTAGAGGATAACCTGTGTAGATCTTATGCTTCAGTCACTACCAAACTCTTTTTCTCAGTTCATTATGAATTTTAATATGAACAAGCTGTTAAGATCGAGTCAGCACTGGGGGGGGGGGAGAATTAGTGCAGCGGATAAAAACGTCGATTTTGAAAATCTTTCATACATTCAATGAAAACAAATATCAGAAATGTGAGTTTAACTTGAAAGCATATAGAAGAGTGTAATGAGAAGATAAAGCAAGTAAGGTCATTTGCAATAAAAGTAAAGAGCTTAAAGTAAATGCACACCGAGTTTTATAGTGGTTTGGTCATCGTGACCTACATCCACTCCCGATTCCTTTTCCATCAAGACCACCGGCATCCACTAACGATCTTCCTTTAATAGGTGAAGACCAACCACCTTCTTACAACTCTATTCTTCTTTTGATAGGTTCAGGAGAGAACCTTTACACCCCCACAACCTCCTCTCTTAAACTTGCTAACACTTAGAGTTTGAGAGGAGTTCACACAAGATTACAATAATATTTTCTTTTCCTTTTGCTCTCAATTGTGTATAATCTGAGTAGAGATGAGAAAGGTATTTATAAGCCCCAAATGGATTCAAATTTGGAGCCTAAAAGTGTCTTATCCCCGGTTTTCAAGGTACTGGCGGCACCATCACTTATGCTGGGCAGTACCATCGCTTACAACACTGACACCGGGTGGTACAATCGCCTAATCTGACGGTACCACTGTCTGATAGTCTCGGATACCGAATCTAGGTGGTACCATCGCCTGACATAGTCTCGGAGACTATGCTACGACGATTCCACTTGTTGAATCACTGTTTGACCCTTTCACTTAGCCCAATATAACTCAAACTTGGGCTCAATTGACGCTTAATTGAGTTGGCTCAATTCCAACCCAATTACACCTAAAATCTATTTAGAATTATTACAAATCTTTAATCAAATGTTATCCCGTTATTTTCGAAGACTGTTGTCTATCTCGATTTCAGGTTACATGAAATACGGTCGAGAATTGGATGAGAGATCCGTCTGTAGACCCAAAGTAGTAAAAGAAGGTCGAGGGGCGACTACAGTTGGTGATGCAATGCACCCCCGAGGACGAGGAGGTGACGGGCGCTTGGCCTGCTGCTGTGCAACAATTGAGAGGAGGCAGCGGGCATTCGGCCTACTGCTGTGCAATCGCCGAGAGGAGGCGACAGGTGCTCGGCCGGCTGCTGTGCAACCACCGAGAGGAGGCGGCAGGCGCTCAGCGGGCCTCCGGCTGTCTCAAAGCTAGAGACCGACCGTAGTGAAGTGAAGGGAGAGAAGATGCTAAACGCGGAGGAGATAGGGAAGCAGGAAGGGGCAACGCTCGGGGCAGAGAGCACTCGACGGTGGGTGAGGAGCGATCGCAGTCAATAGCGTGAGCGGCAGCAGCAGTCGGCGTTGGTTGTAGGCAGCGGCGTGTGTGATGAGGATCGCAGTGAGCACTGCGGCGGACTGCAGCGAGCGGTGCGGGCGATGCTAGTGAGAGCGCTGTCGGCGGTGATGTTGCAGGCGGATGCAAGCAATGATGGAGAGCCGCGGTGAAACCAACGTGAGCGGCTGAAGAAGGACGATCAGGTCCTTCGCGAAAATGCCTCTGTCCATCTTCGGTTCCGCGGCAAAGAGGACGGCTCAGGGCGGGCGGTGTACGTCGGGCAGGAGCGCCGAAAGTTCGTGATCCGACCTGGTTCTTGAATCTACCGATGTTCACCGCCCGGCTTGAGGTTTGTCGATTTGAAGTCCGCCGATCAGATCAATAGCGGCTGTGAGCAGAGTTTGTCGTTGAGCAGAGGAAACAGATCGACGGGTGGACGCTGTTGCTGTAGATCGACGATGGTAACGAGGCGAGCGCTCAGTGCAGAGGGGGGTCGTTGTTGCTATCGTGACGACAGGCCGATCGAAAGAGAAATTGCTGTCGACCGAAGGGATAGCCGAGGAAGGGAGAAAACCAATACCGGAGAAAGAAGAGATTGCTGTTGTTAGTGTCTAACATATTTACCCCGTGGCCTCGGGCCAATATGGTTGGGTTCGGATCCGAATGATTGGAGTGCAGGTTTTTATAGGGAAGGTCAACGTTTCCTAATATGCACCGACGTTTCTCTTCTTCCTCTCCTTCTTCTCTTCTCTCCTTCCCCTTATCTTCTTCCCTTCTCGTCCACCAACGCACCTCCGCCGAATTCCTCGTGCGGAAGGTAGAGGTGTGTGGGAAGTGATGGGAAGAAAACTCTCTTTTTATTTTTTATTTTTTACTTTTATAATTTGGTCATTGTAATATCTATATTTATAAATAGGTCATCGGAAAAATAAATTTATTATATTCTTCCCTCTGCATGAAGATTTTGCACTGTAAACTTCATGCATCTAATCCAAAAATAATATATATTCATGACATCAATCAAATCATAACATTCTATATAATTAAATATTTTAAAATATATAAAAACTTAAGATATTTTTCATCTCAAATATTTATTTTCGACCTTAAATATTTCTACTCGATCCTAAATATTAAGATAACTTAACCTCGTATTAAAGTCCGTTAGCACACTTTGGCTTATTGTACTATTGGCTTATTGTACTATACTAATATAAATCTTAATATTTATGCATACTCAACTAATATTTTATAGAATATTGAAAATGATATATTTTAAAAAATATGTACTTCAATTTTATGAATCGAAAACATGAGCATATCATAAACATCATAAATCTTGTCATAAAATGAAAATAACAATACAATGAAAATAACATTGCATTGTTATGGGATGATAGCATAAACATTATCGGCATGCTAGTTATAATTCAAAATGTATGAAACTTGGGTACTTCGTCTCTTATCGATAAAGACCATTGCATTGTTATTATTAGATTTTTTTAAAAAAAATAAAAATATTAAAACTATCATTATTAAGCCCTTATATTTTTATCGGGTGGTGTTCTTCTCTGGTTGATCACCCATTGTGATCATGTGGGCTTCAAATCGAGCCAAAATTAGAATCAAATTGAGACTGACTCTAGACGATTCGATTCTAATTCCTAGGTTTGAAAAACTGAAATCGACAATTTCGACTCTGATTCAATTCGTGTGTTCCGTAATCTTAAATTACTTTTTATAATTTAAAAAGTAAATTTATATTTTTTTATTTTAAAATTTTAAATAAAAAAATAGTGATAAAATTGACTGTTTGAATTGGAATCGGAATTATCGATTTCAATTCTTAATTTTAAAGAGCTGAAGTCGTTAGTTTCAAAACCATAGTAAACCTATGTGCTTGTGTGGTGTTCATGTAATTGGTAAAGTTTTATGTTAAGATGTGATGATTCGTAATTGAAATAAAATACTGGTAAAAAAAATTATTATATCAAATGTTGTACATGATGCTCATACATGAAATGAACTGAAACCTAAGACCTATCACTTCCATAATAATACACTAACCAATTAAGAAGTCTCAATATATTTTTTTTAAACCTTTAAAGCCTATGTTATAATGTCACGGACTTAGCTGGAATTGTCCAAGTCGTGAGGCACCCTTGTGGCCAAGACGCGAACTTAGCTTGAGTTGCTTAAGTTGCGAAGCATCCTTGTGTCAACTTCTTGGACTTAGTTGAGATCGCCCAAGTCTTGACATGCTCTTGCGATATGCGTCCGCAAAGGTCAATCAATTTGCAACCTCACTCAAGTCCCGAAGGACTTGTAAAAGAGAGAGTTGATTAGTTCGAAAAATGAGCGATGGACAAGTCCCGACGTCTCGCGAAGAGAGAAGCTTTATAAGCAATTCAACGACCACCTTGCGTGCATTAGATAATAGAAAGAGAAGAGGAAAAGGACTTTAAAAGGTAGAACGAACAATTGCAAGTCCACAAATAACTACTCACGGGGTATCGGGCGCGAAGACAATTCCAACTAAGTCTGTGACATTATGGTATCAGAGTTTCGATCCTAGGACCTGTGGGCGACTTTCTCCAACAATTTTTTCTAATTCATTTACATAATTGGTGCTCGAATGTCATTTCGATTCTTTGACAGTTTTTTTTCTATTCGTTTAGTTGAAACATTCTCATTTATTTTGCTCCCTATTTAATTTTATAATATTTTGAACCGTTCTAGTTGTAATGAGAGATTAAAATTTTTCTTGCTGCTATAACAAATATTAGGCTGGGATAGAATCTTGTTGTCCATCGCTTACTGTACACTTTCTCATTTTAACTGTCCATTTATTGCCACATTTCATCAAACGCGCTACGTGCAAGGTTTACAGAACTCGTGTCCGACCTAGATTTATCGTGTGGGCAAAAGTACATCCTCGAAAGAATTGTTGATCGAACGCTTTCGACACATGTCGTTGGTGGTTGAGTACTAAAGCAGCATGTTCTGCTCGTCTGGTGGCATTCCGTAGGTCATGATTTGGTCTGGAAGGAAGCAGCTTTGTGGGTGGGGAGGAACCCGAATGTGAGCATGGATTTTGACCAACAACTCGGCGCAGCTTCTCGGTGTTGGCATGATTTGATTCTTCAGTCGTCCCGCAGCCGGAGTTGGAACTTCCTTTTCATCAATGATGAACCTGCTGAGGATTACCAATCTCCTCGGTGTCTGTTCCAAAGGTTCGACTTTGAAAGGGGGGATTCAGCTCCATGGGGCCGCGATTAAGATGGGCTTCGTTTCCGATCTGGTTCTGAACAATTATTTAGTAGACATGTATGGGAAATGTGGTCGGATGGATTTGGGCAGTGCGGTGTTCGATGGAATGTCTAAGAGAAATGTGGTGTCTTGGACCGCGCTTATGGTTGGGTTTCTGCAACAGGGTGATGCCGAGGAGTGCCTAAGATTGTTCAGCGATATGGGGTTTTTTGGTGTGAGACCGAATGAGTTCACGCTGTCGACAAGTTTGAAAGCTTGTGGTTTGCGAGGGATTGCCGAAATTGGGATTCAGATTCACGGAGTCTGTGTTAAAGCTGGATTTGAGCAGCACCCAGTGGTGGCCAATTCAACCATTTTTATGTATTCTAAAGGTGGAAAAATCACTGATGCCAAGCAAATCTTTGATAGATTTCCACTAAAGAATCTTGTTACCTGGAACACAATGATTGCAGGTTACTCCCATGGAATCCATGGCAGTAATGCGTTCCTTTTGTTTCGAGAGATGCAAGAACAAGGGGTAACGCCTGATGAATATACCTTTGCAAGCTTACTAAAAGCTTGCACTTGTCTTGGATTGCTTCAGGAAGGAACTCAAATCCATGCTTCATTAATTACATCAGGCATTTCTAATTCAAACAATGCAATTCTTTCAGGTGCTCTCATCGATCTCTATGCCAAATGCAGAAATTTACATGAAGCAAGGAAAGTCTTTGATAGGACCTTGCAGAAGAATGTAATATTATGGACAACTTTAATTGTTGGGTATGCTCAAGATGGTCTTGTGAAAGAAGCCATGAATTTGTTTCATCAGTTTTGGAGCTCTGGCATGCGCATTGATGGTCACATACTGTCCAGCATAATTGGTGTTTTTGCTGATTTCGCTTTAATTGAGCAGGGAAGGCAAGTTCATTCCTACACAGTGAAACATCCATCAGGATCAGATGTATCTGTAGCAAACTCTCTCATTGATATGTACCTCAAATGTGGGCTGACAGAAGAAGCAGAAAGGCATTTCAGAGAGATGGAAACTAAGAATGTGGTGTCTTGGACTGCAATGATAAATGGCTATGGAAAGCATGGGCATGGTCATGTTGCGATCCACTTGTTTGAAGAGATGCAAGTAAAAGGGGTTGAGCCTGATGAAGTGACTTACTTAGCTCTGCTATCGGCATGTAGTCATGCTGGACTTGTGGAAGAATGCTGCGACTACTTCTCTAGGTTGATGAGTGAGTGCCATATTAAACCAAATGTAGAGCACCATGCTTGCATGGTTGATCTGCTTGGTCGTGCTGGCCAGTTGCAGGAAGCCAAGATCCTTATTGAGAGCATGCCAGTTGAGGCCAGTGTTGGCATTTGGCAAACACTTTTAAGTGCTTGTAGGGTTCATAGAAACCTCGAAATGGGCAATGAAGTCGGAGAAATTTTACTTCAAATGGATAGCGGTAATCCTGTAAATTATGTGATGATATCTAATATTTTTGCAGAGGCAGGTGATTGGAAAAAGTGTGAGAGGCTAAGGAAGATGATGAAAAGAAAAGGGCTGAAGAAACAGGGAGGCTGCAGTTGGGTGGAGATTGACAAGGAGGTTCATTTCTTTTATGGTGGTGATGATTCTCACCCACTTAGCAATGAAATACATGTGGTCCTCAGAAAGGTGGAGAGGCAGATGAAGGAAGAGCTGGGTTATACTTGTAGAGTTAGCCTTGCGTTGCATGATGTGGAGGATGAGACAAAAGAAGAAAGCTTGAGGGTGCACAGTGAGAGATTGGCCATTGGCCTGTGGCTGGTTCATAAAGGCTTGGAGAAGACAGATGAGGTGATCAGGGTGTACAAGAACCTCAGAGTATGCGGTGATTGTCACGAGTTTATTAAGGGGTTGTCAAGGGTGACTGGGAGAGCTTTGGTGGTGAGAGATGCAAACAGGTTCCACAGATTTGAAGATGGTGTTTGTTCCTGTGGGGATTACTGGTGATATTGTGCCAGTTGAATCACAGAGACGTGGCTAGTCACTGAAATTAGCATTCAGAAAAAGAGATTATAGTTTTCCTTCTTTAGATGAACAAGGAAATTCAAGTCGATACTCATACTGTTCTCGCGATCCATGTGATGGTCCTATGATATCTGAAGAATTGCATGTATGAAACAAGGTCTGCCTTTATGTGGAAAGAAAAATGATGAGACTTGGGAGAAGCTTGCATCTGACTGCTAGAACATAAGAGAGATAAATCTTGAAAAGATGGGAACTTGTTACTCATATAAAAAGTCAATGAAATGGCTACTTTGTCTCTGATGATGTATGATGATGGGACTTCTAATTTGCGGCAAATATAAACAAGATTACTGGAAGAGATGAGAAACCAAAAACATCAACTTAAATGTCCAGAGAGGCTATATATGTGTTTGCAGGAACCTACTGTATGGTTTTCTAGAGACATAATTTCTTGCAAGGATGTTTAACAATGCTGTCAAACAAGATTAAACCAACTTATTATCTTACTAAAAGGTCAGTGGACTCTGGAACCTGATAGTTGCATTGGCTTGTTGTTGTTGCTGTGTGAATGGACTATGTTGAACTTGGAATGGAGAAAAATTTATCATCAAGCTTTGTTAAGGTAATCTTTGGCTCTTACATAAGCATTGCAACTTGAATCTGAATCTTAATCATTCAGCTGCTTATTTCAACTAGGATTTGCAAGGCTATTACATAAGCTTTCCATGTATCATCATTATATCCAATTCATAAAATCATTGGATTTGCAAGGCTATTATTTCAACTAGGTTAGAGAAAGTTCAACTTTATAACTGGACTGAAACACCAGCAAGACAATTTTTTTTCTACTAAAAAAAAATCAATTTTTTTTCTTTTCTTTCATATTCTCTGTTATTCTAGGAATCCACACAATTAACAATGTCAGTAAACCAAATAGTAAAATTTCATGTGTATTTTCAGTAAATTGTTGTCATGTGCTCTTGGTAAAATTTCACCTCAAGTAACCCAAATCAATCGGAAATCCCAAAGTTCCACCTTAAATTATTTCCTTCTTATAGAGAATATTACGAATGCCTAAAGAAATAATGATGTAAGAAGATAGTATGAAAAATATGGATAATACAGAAATAGTATAAAGGTAGAAAAATAATATGTATAATTATGTGTCATAAAATAGTATAAAGGTAGCCTATACCTATGATGTGATTAAGCTTTAGTTAAAATAACTTGTACTCAATTCCATGCTTCTTTCATTCATATCTATTACACTTGATGATAAGATCTTGTATTGGATAGCTTGGAAGAGCACAGTGCTGAAAGGTTGCCTATACTTATCAGAAATCATCAATATCAAAGGGCTTAATAAAATAGAAAAGTAATCACTTGATTAATACAACCTTCTGCATCCTAACCTGCATATCAAAATCTGATTGCATCACATGATTATGATGAGTTGATCTTGCTGGTATGACAAGCCTCCGGATAAAGTTTGCCGGAAAAGTCAACCATAGGATGACTCAGCATTGTATTAAGTGTAGGGTAAAGCAAATTTGGAGATAAGAACCCATGTTTATGTATTGATTAAGCCTAATAAAAAAGAAGAAAACATTTCCACCAGAGCAGAACTACACCACAAGCATTCACAAAAAGCTGAGGATATATGCTTTCTTGCATCTCATGGGCAGCAGCTTCAGAATTAGTGCAACTGAGAAATCAAGAACTGAGAAACAAGCATGTGGAAAAGAATAAGAACGAGAGATATAGATGGAGCTAAGAACAATCTTGTGCATCATTTAGTCAGCAAGATAGCTGATGTTGATGGCCCAATTCAGTGCTGGTTTCACAGTGAGCTTCATCATCTAATCTAATAAAGGTGGACAAGAACACTACTGTATAGTGCAAACCCAACACTAATTGTAACAATGTCACGAGAAGATTTAGCTTATTGTGATGTCTTTCGTGCTTGTAGTTCTACATGACATCACTTTGTTGACAGCTTCATGAGTAGCTAAGGATCTTGGTATTGGTTGAAGAGATCCCAGAAAGCTGCAGGAGAAGGTACCATTCCACCGGATAGGAAGTTGCTGGGACTCGGCATGAAGCAGTTGATCGTCTCCGGAAAGCTCCTGCCACCATGAATGGCTGGGCTGAGTTCGTTGACGAAGCTAATCTGAGTCTGGCCTGTGGAGGATGCAAACAAGTTGGGAGATATCCATGGCAGGGAAGAAGGGACGGGGGACAATATGCCATGAAACGAAGCGGACGGCCGATCCAACGTCGACGTACCACCACCGGTTCCTAGCAGATCAGCCGATATGGCGCCTTGCGCTGGCTTCTCGAACACGGCAAAACGAGCAGCTGGGGAGAACACTTCCCCGGTGGCTAAAGGAGCGTCAGCAGAAGACGAAGAGGAGGAGGCAGCTGCGGCGCCGGTGAGGCGTTGCACCACCGACATGAAGTCGTCAGGGGTGGTGTGGATGACCTTGGGCGAGATGGCGTAGATTATGATCGGCGGCCGGTGCTGAGGCGGCGCCACCGGAGGTTTCTTTAACTTGTAGGAGTCCTTCCGGATCCTGAGAGGAGCCGGCCGGGGGCCGAGGAGCTCTCTCCTCGACGCCTGTCCACCGTCCATGGCGAGATCAGAACAACCCATGATGCGAAGTAAGCGAAGCCAATGCAGAAGAAGAAGAGTCCACATGAAATATATGGGCACAGAAGTCAATGAAGTAATGGAGTGCACCATCGCATCACAACGAAGGCAATCAAAACCAGAAAAGAACGTTGAACTCGTCCACGGAGGACGGCAGTCTGATGAGGTGTTATTCCATGGACAGCAGACAGCATGCTGAGCCGCCCACTTGGGAATTTTGCCAAGTCAAACTTTTAAGTGGGATTCGCTGTCCAACTCGTGGCAGACCGAAGAGTCCTCGCAGCAGCATAGCCAACGTATCCCAAGACGTGCACTCAGCGCAGTGGATCTCCTTGGCGTTTGCTGTTCGAAACAAGGGAAAGAGAGGGCGTGGATGAAGTCAATAGTATCCAAGACGTCGTCCGGTACCGAGGTTGTACGTCGTCAACGCATTTACTTCTTTCACCAATAATTTTGATATTTATGGTGTATTTGACACTTTCTTTTTCCCATAAATTGAGGTATGTCTACCCAAAAATATGGGAAGATAAAAGGGTGAATTCTTCAGAAAAAAATATCTTTTTAATTTTTTTCCCGATAAGTGTCCCCCTATTTCTAAAATTATCTAACAATATTTTTTAATATCTAAAATATCATTGATTTCACAACCAACCGCTAATCCCTTTTTTCTTGTTTTTCCTCTCATTTCTTATGAACCGGTTGATAGGGTGAATCAATTCAATTATATGATTTTTATATTATAATTTTATAATATATTCAATAATACTAAAAACTATTATAATGTAATATAAAAATATTATAATAAAAAATGTAAGAAAATAAAATGGTGAATT